GGGATGCCGTAGGGGTGCCGTGGGGGTTCCCCGGGGTTGCCCCGGGGGTGCCCCGGGGATGCTCGGGGGTGTCCTGTGAGTGCCCCGGTGGTGTGCCGGGGGTGCCCCGGGGGTGTCCCGAGCGTGCCCCGGGGGTGCCCCAGGGGTGCCCCATGGGTGCCCCGAGGTTGCCCAGGGGTGTCTGGTAGTGTATGGGGATCCCCCGGGGGTGTCCCAGGGGTGTTCTGAGGGTCCCCTGGCAGTGTCCCGGGCATGTCCTGGGGTTGCCCGGGGGTGTCCCGGTGGTGTCCCGTGGTGCCCCGAGTGTCCCCTGTGGCCCGTGGTGGCCCCCGGGGTGCCCCGAGGGTGCCCGCGGGTGCCACGGTGGTGCCCCCGGGTGCCCCGGGGGTGCCCTAGGGATGCCCGGGTGTGTCCCGGGGTTGCCCTTGTGGTGCGCCGGGGGTGCCCCGGGGGTGTCACTGCCGTGCCCCGGGGGTGCCCCATGGGTGCCCCTGGGGTGCCCGGGGATATTATGGGGGTGACTGGGGGTGTCCAGGGGTCCGCTGGGGGTGTCTCGGCGGTGTTCCAGGGGTACCCCGGGGGTGTCCCGGGGCGGTCCCAGTGGTGCATAGGGGTGTCCCAGTGGTGTCCTGGGTGGTACCCCCGGGGTGCCCCGAGGGTGCCCGCGGGTGCCCCTGTAGTGCCCGCGGGTGTCCCGGGGGTGCTCCGGGGGTGCCCGCGGTTGTCCCGGGTGTGTCCCGAGGGTGCCCCGGGGGTGCCCCCGAGATGTCCTGGGGGTGTCCAGGGGGTGCACTGGGGGTGCCCCGGGGCCCGGCGGTGCACTGGGGGTGCCACGGGGGTCCCACGGGGGTTCCCGGGGTGTGACCCGTGGGTACCCCGGGGTTCCCCCGGTGGAGTCCCGGTAGTTCCCCTGGGGTGTCCTGGGGGTGCCCTTGCGGTGTCCCGGTGGTGCCATGTGGGTGTCCCAGGGGTGTCCCGGGGGTTCTCCGGGGGTGTCCGCGGGTGCCCCGGGGGTACCCCGGGTTGTCCCGGAGGTGTCCTAGGGCTGTCCTTGGGGTGCGCCAGGGGTGCCGCGGGGGTGTCCTGGAGGTGCCCCGCGGGTTCCCCGGGGGTGCTTCTGGGGTGCCCCAGGGATGTTCCGGGGTTGCCCAGGGGGTGCCCTAGGGGTGTCTCGTGGGTTTCCTGGGCATGCCCCTGGGGTGCCCCAGGGGTGCAGAGGGGTGCCCCGGGGATGCCCGGGGGTGTTCCTGTGGTGACCCGGGGGTGTCCTGCGGTTTTCCGGGTGTGCTCCGGGGGTGTCCCGGGGGTGCCTAGGGGGTGTCCCGTGGCTGTCCCGGGGGTGTCCCGGGAGTGCCCTGGGGGTGCCCTGGTGGTGTGCCGGGGGTGCCCCGGGCGTGCCCCTGGGGTGCTCCGTGGGTTCCCCGGGGGTGTCCGGGGGTCCTCCGGGGGTGTCTCGGGGGTGGCCCGGTGGTGTTTCGGGGGTGCCCTGGTGGTCCCACGGGAGTGTCCCAGGGGTGTCCCGGGGGTGCCTGGGGGTGTCCCGGGGGTCCCCTGGGGCTCGAGTGTGCGTCTTGGGTGCCCCAAGGGTGCATGCTGGGGCCCCAGTTGTGCGCGCGGGTGTCCCGGGGGTGCCCCGAGGGTGTCCCGGGGGTTTCCCTGGCATGCCCCGGGGGTAACTAGGGGTGCCCTGGGGGTGCCCGGGGGTGTCCGGGGTTGTCCGGGGGTGTTCCGGGGGTGTCCCGGGGGTGCCCAGAGGGTGTCCCGTAATTGTCCCGGGGTGTCCTAGGGTGTCCCCGGGGTGTCCCGGGGGTTCCCCGGTGGGGTCCCGCGGGTGTCCCGGGGTTGTCTCGGGGGTGTCCCGGGGGTGCCCCAGGATGTCCGGGGGGAGCCCCAGCGGTGCCCAGGGGGTGCCCCGGGGGTGCCCGGGGCTATCCCGGGGCAGTCCTAGGGGTGTCCCAGGGTTGCCCCGGGGGTGTCCCAGGGATGTCCCGGCGGTGTCCCGGGGTTGCCAAGGGGGTGTCCCGGGGGGGCCCCGGGGGTTCCCGGGATTGTCCCGGGGGTGTCCTGGGGCCCGGGGGTGCCCTAGGGGTCTGCCGGCGGTGTGCTGAGGGTGTCCTCGGGGTCTCCCGACGGTCTCCCGGGGGTGTCCCGGGGGTGTTCGGGGGTGCCCCGGGGTGTCCCGGGGATGCCCCGGTGGTGCCCAGGGGGTGTCCTAGGGGTGTACCGGTTATGTCCTAGGGTTGTCCCGATGGGGCCCCGGGGGTGTCTCGGGGGTGCCCTAGGGGTGCCCCAGTGGTGTCCCGGGCGTGTCCCTGGGGTGCCCTGGGGCTGTCCCAGGGATGTCCCGAAGGTGTCGAGGGGGTGTCCTAGCGGTGTCCCGGGGGTGCTCTGGAGATGCCCGAGGGTGCCCGAGGGTCTCCCGAGGATGTCCCGAGGATGCCCCGGGGGTGCTCAGTGGTGCGCCGTAGGTTCCCTAGGGGTGTCCCGGGTGTGCCCCGGGGGTGCCTGGGGGTGCCCCAGGGGTGCCCCGGGGGTGCTCGGGGGTGTCCAGGGGTGTCTGGGGGTGCCTAAGGGTTGTCCGGGGGTTGTTCCGGGGGTGTTCCGGGGGTGCCCCAGGGGTGCCTCGCGGGTGCCCGCGGGTGTCCTGGGTGTGCCCGGGGTTGTCGCAGGTGTGTCCCGGGGGAGTCTAGGCGGTGCCCCGGGGTCTTCCGACGGTCTGCCGGGGGTGTCCCGGGGGTGTTCGGGGGTGCCCCGGTGTGTCCCGGGGGTGCCCCGGGGGTGCCCTAGGGGTGTCCCGATGGTGTCCCAGGGTTGTCCTGGTGGGGCCCCAGGGGTGTCTCGGGGGTGCCCCAGGGGTGCCCCAGGGGTGTCCCGGGCGTGTCCCGGGG